ACAAACACACACAACTACAGTTCACAACATCTGGACCACTGACGTCACACAACAATACACAGTAGTATTAGTCTGACCTCAGTGTTGATCAGCTGTGTGTGTTCATCCTGCAGCTGAAGCTCCAAACGCTGACATCGATCTCTGTACTCCAACACCTGCACACACACAATACTGTCAGTACAACAACACCTGCACACACACAATACTGTCAGTACAACAACACCTGCACGCACACAATACTGTCAGTACTCCAACACACAGCTGAAACTACAGCTGATACTCTGATCTTTGTACTCCTGCAGACAGTAACAGACCATATTAATCGTTCATATAACTGAATATTAACTCACCTTGTTCTGCAGTCGGTGGATGAGCAGAGCCTGTCTGGCCTCCCTCTCCCTCCCCTCCCTCACCCTCCTCCTTACGTCCCTCTGCTCTGCCTCCAGCCGCAGAGACAGGGCTAGCGGGGGGGACACTGACTGACACAGCTGAGGAGAGAGACAGGTGTAATGTTAACATTCACCCTGCTGATCACATGACCTCCTCCTCCTCCTCACACCTTCTCACCCTCTCATTCAGAGCTCTGCTCCTGGACTCCAGCTCCTCCCTCTCTGCTCGGCTCTCTGCCAGCTCCTCCTGCAGACGACACACCTCCTGTTTGAGCTCCGCCTTCTCCTGCTGCAAACCAATGAGCAGCTCCGACTGCATGCTGACAGGTCGACCTCGCCGTCAGTGAACCTGGACGGAGACACAGACACGTCTGAGATACACCTGCCAACCTTATCACTGTGCAGAAGGAAGAGTGCATCTACTCATGGACGAGAGACACATGCTCATGACAGCGTGTGATGTAAACTCTACTGAGCTGTAACGTTAGCTGGCTCAGTGGTGCTAGGTGAGCTAGCAGTAGATGCACTCTTCCTTCTGCGTAGTGATACAGTTGTCGGTGTAGAAAGAAAATACAAGGTGTGTGTATTATCTTGAGTAAGAGGATCATACTTTGTGGAAGGAGACGCTGCTGTTGAAGTAAAGTATTTTTTAGAGGGTCTAGTTTCATTATATAGGAGAGAAGGCCGACATCCCTGTAGCCGTGATCTCCAACACTCACACCAAAACTATGTAGACCAATAATACCACAGGTCAGAGCAACAATATGAATTTTTGATTTGGGGTGAATTGTATGTATGGTTGCGTGTAGGGACTTGTTGCTATGACGACAGCCTCTCCAGGTTTCTGCTGACTACGTATATGATGGACAGGTGGACGAAATAACAGAAACACAGTTGCCATAAAAACCACACAGTCAACTAAATGCTTAAATATAAATACATCATTTACATTAAGTATTAATGTTAATTTACATGAATCCAAAACCAACAGACAGGAAAACACTTCAGTGCAACTACTGTAACTACATTCAGCTGACAATTCTTTTTCTTTTAATCAGTCAGGTTTTGAAGGCAGGATTTTACCTTGTAGTGGAGTATTTTCACAGGGTGGTATTAGCACTGGTACTGTAACGTTAGAGTAAAGAATCTAAATACTTCTTTTACACTGAACAATTTAAGTAGTAGTAGCAGTAGCAGTGTGTTGTCTGGTAGTTCCTGTGTGTCAGTGTATAATCAGCATGTTATATTGTAGTAGCTGTAGTATATTGCACCAGTAGCAGTAGTAATAGCAGTAGTGGCAGTATACCGTTAGGTTGTTCCTGTGTGTCAGTGTATAATCAGCTTGTGTTGAGTGTTAATCTGTTAAACAGCAGAGGCAGCAGAATAGATATTAAACCTGTTAAAATACCAACAAACGTTTTCACATTCCGGTCAGCACCGGTTTAGTCATCTTAACTAACGGCTGTTAAACCGGACACAGAGACGTAACGGCTGGAGATGAAATTAACAGTTATTAGAGGAACTAACGTTAACTCCTAACTGCAGTTAGCATGTTAGCATGCAGTTAGCATCAGCAAAACAAACAATAAATAAAGTGAATTAAAGTTCGTACCTGCTGAACCGGAAGCTGCTGAACGAGCTTCACTCACAAACTGTAAAAAACAATTGGACACTTAATAAAAATACATATCTGCGTCATTCATTCCGCTAACAGGCTAACACTACCTGTTGTTGTTAGCATATTCAAACCGGGAAACATAACCCTTCACCCCGGTGACGTAGAGGTCACGTGACTGGAGACAACGCTGCTGAATACAAACAGCGACACCAGCCGACCATTATGTGTCAGAATAAAATAAATACAATACTGAAATACACTAAATAGATATTTATGATGATTTGTTTTAGGTGTGACTTTAATTTATAGTGAAAAAAATGTATATTTTGTAAAGGAAAAGTAATAATAGAAATACATTAAATTAAAAAGCAGAAGTATTTATATCATCTTCAACTGAAAACAAAACAAAATAAGTTATATAAAAAAAATATTTAAAAAAGTATTGACCTCAGCTCTTGATTTTGAAAAAAAAAAGATATTTTAAACAAAATAAGACAAATAAGAAACTTCAACTGACTTCAACTGTATATATATATAAAACTATATATATATATATATATATATATATATATATAGTTAGAAAAAATAAAAATACAAAAACAATTAGAAAATATTTTTGATGAACTTCAAATGTATATTTTGAAATTAAAAAGGTAAAATATTGTAAAGTATTTATATTGACTTCAGCTGTATATTATGAATACTAAATAAAATAGCTCACATTAAAATTAATTAAAAAAATATATATATATATAAACATAAATTTAAAATAAAATAGATTGACTTCAATTGTATATTTTGACGTTATCTTAAATATTTAAAACATAAATAGAAAATGTATTTATATCAACTTTAAATGTATATGTTGAAGACAAATAAATAAATTACATTAAAAAATAATTTAAAGAGAAAAAATAATCAATAAAATACAAAACTAAATTTAAAAAAATATCTAGATTGACTAAAAGTAGTTTAAACAAGAAGAAAAAGTATTTATATCAATTTTAACTAATTTAATTGTGTAAAATCTTTAATATCTCCAGCAGCAATTATCAGAATCAGACTCTGGTTTATTGCCAGGTAGTTTTACACATACATGGACTTTGCTTTGGTATTTTGGTGCAATTACAAGAATCTTAAAAATTCAAAATTAATAAATTAATTTAAAAATATATACAGTTCAACTGTTTAAAATTAAAGTACTCGACAGGTATGTGTAAAAATACATTCCAGGGGATGTTCAAATATTAATAATAAAAAGAATGCTTAGTGTGCAAGAATTAGTCGTCAGTAAAAAAAATAGATGTGATATAATGTGAGAATCTACAGTATATATTAATGTTATGGTTTATAAATAGAAATGAAATCATAGACAACTGAAACTGGACACAAAAATAAAACCAAACTGGAGCAGGAAATCACAACGTCAGAGATAATGAGGAGAATTTATTAAGGATGAAGATTCAAACATGGATAAAACTGTTACATTCTGAGTTATAAATTCTGCTTCAGATAATGAATTGTTTATCATGAACAATAATATATTATCACTCCATGTCACATATTTAGTACTACAGTTATTTAGGATTTATAAGCAAACACAACACAAATATAATAAATTACTGTTTGGCTATACAATAATATTTAAAAAGCACCTGTGGGTCTGTTATTGTCTGCAGTGGTGTGACTGTATTTACTGTGACAAAACAGACACACTGTGATAAATGTATTTTATAACAAATATCAAGATACAAACCTATATTTCATAATTACAAGTGCACAGCACAGATCTCAGCTTACAGTAATATTAGGATAATATTCAGTTTTAAACAGAAACATTGTAGAAAATAAGTACAAAAGATTTTTAACAAAGCTTTTCTTTGGTTTTACACAACAATGCTACATCACACAAGAACAATATATTCTGCTTTAATATATCAGAAACATCTGAAGCCTTTCATTAGAGCTTAACAGCCAATTCATTTATAATAAGTTATAAAGTTTATTTTATTTCTTCCAGTTTACAGTGTCAAATAAATTAGTCACTTTTGCTTTGCAGAGCAACTTTTAAAATAACGTCACGATGAACTTTGCTGTGTTGCTTTAGTTTTACTTCTGTTTGTATGTTTAAGGTTATTTTGTCGCCACAGCAGAGTCAGATACAGACTAAAGTATATTTGTCTTGATTTCCTTCAGGTTAAATTATTTACTCATTTTTATAATCTATGGTATTTTATCAGTTGAGCGTTTTTATCGTAGCTGTGTGTTGTTTTTCCTCCTGAGTGACCTTTTCCTGATGCAGTGGGTCGTTCGCTCTGCACCGTTACACTGCAGGGCTGAAAGTGAGACCTGCTCCACCCCAGGTGTTCAGTGTCTCTTCACCACCTGCTTAGATTTCGGGTCTGTGTAAGAAAAGTCCTGATTACTATTGTTAGCATATGAGGTTATGGAGCCCTGAAGATGACGTCGCTTTAACAAAATCACGCAACAGAGTTAAAGGGGAGGCAAAGATATTGGCTGAAAACTCTCCCTCCTCCTCTTCATCATCGCTCAGTGAAATGAAATCCATTCAGCTGACTTTGACTACATGGAAACTAATATAGATTAAAGAAACACGCCTGTAAAGACAACAGCAGTACTGACCAGTAGCTGAAATTACAACAAGACATCTGAGGAGCTTTTAAGGGTCTTCCTCTCCTGATGGCTTTCATGTTCTCTGATGTCATATGTTCACGAACAGGCAAAAGGAAGTCAAATAAGCACTGGTTCCAACCAAGGTCTGCAGAAGACCATCTCTGAAGCAACAACAGCTTGTCCAACCTTGAAGCAGATGGGCTACAGCAGCAGAAGAGTCCAATAGAGCACCTTTGGGATGTGCTGGAACAGGAGATTCTCATCATGGATCAACTGTGTGATGTCATCATGTCAATATGGACCAAAACCTCTGAGGAATGTTTCCAGCACCTCACTGAATCTATGACACCAAGAATTAAAAAGGGGGTCCAACCCTGTACGAGCAAGGTGTACCTAATAAAGTGGCCCGTGAGTGTATGTTAGCATGTTGACAGCTATCAGATGAGCAGCAACATTTTTGACTTAAGTTTTCAGAGTCCTCTGAATATTAGGGATGAGCGAGTACACCATCATCTGGATCTTTAAACCTGGACCTTGTTGTAAATGAGCCCTTTTTTTATATTCGAAAGTTTATCTTTGCCCACCTGAGCACTCCGCCCTCTCTCAGTAGAGCTTAACATGACCTAACTCTTTTAAATAACTGTATAAGAAAGTGCTACATATATAAATTTAAGTCATTATTATTCTAAAATCCTGAAGAGGACGCAGCTTAAACATTACATCAGCAGGATCTGACTCCTCCTCTGCAGGCTGAGGGTGTGAAGTGTCTCAGGATTTAACTCTAAAGACTTCAAAACACACAGGTGTAAAACGATGGTAAATTATAAGTTTTTGGGGGTCTGAGTTAATGACCATCAATGTCTCAGCAGTTTTTAAAAGTCAAACTTTCTTCTGATGTTTCTGAAGCAGAGGTTGCAGCAGAGTGCGAGCAGCTGCAGGACGGAGTCTCATTCAGTAGGTCCTGAGTTTGAAGACCTTGCTGAGCCTGGAGGTGGCGCTGGAGTAGACGAGGAAGGAGCCCTCGTCGGTCCTGAAGTATTCCCAGTCTCTGCAGCCGAACGTCGGCAGACTGTGAACCGGGACGAAGCCCTCGTAACCCTGCCACCTGAAAACACAAAACACACAGAGATAGTACCCTACAGATACAGTCTGCAGTGACATGTGACAGGAAGTACTCACCTGTAGACGATACTGTTCAGAGAGTACGAGCTGCCGTCATGAGAGTTGGCCACCACCAAGAACTTCTCATCTCCGATGGTGAAGAACTCCCAGTCCACAGCACTGAACACAGCAACATATAAAGTCTCTTTAAAGGGCAGTTCCACTGTTCTATGTTCTTCTGTTCTCAATCTTTGAAACACGACATTACTCTCAGAGACTCCACCTGGAGATTCACCTGTGCGTGAGGATGTCCTGGAAAGGGATGAACGTCTGTGTGAGCATGTTGAGCTCGTACACGGTGGAGTTGATGCTGTAGAGACTTGGGCCGCGTTCTGAAACCTTCTGACTGTTGGCGACGGCGAGAAAGAACCTGCCGTCGATCTGAAACGTCTCCCAGTCTGTCGCTCCCACCGTCTACAGGGAGAGGAACAAACCAATGGTTGTGAAGGAGTTTTGTTGTGTTACAACCTTTAGCCTTGGTCAGTAAAGGAAAGGGATGATAGCTATGCTTTAGGCGGAGGGAGTACAGCTGCCCAGATAAAGGTGCCGAGCCAGCTTCGGTCACAATAAGCACAAACACAGACACAGAACTGAGGAGTCGTCAGTGTGTTTTTAATTGTGGGTGTAATGACTCCTGCAGCCTGTAGAGGACGCCGGCAGAGTCTGTATCTCAGCCTGTGAAGTGAGATCTATTTGTAGATCTATTAGAGGAGGTGTAAGCAGAGTTTAATGTGTTCTGGCTGCGACAGTTTCTGTCAGAAGTTGAATTAAAGGTTCAGCTGGTTTCATGAAGCTTTAACATGTTTTTTGTGGTTTTAAAATCAAATAAAAGTCTCAGTGAGATGATCCGCCCTGACGGACGAGTCCAAACAGTCTGCCGCTGGAAACCCCCTCACACACGCGCGCGCACGCACGCACACACACACACACACACACACACACACACACACACATTAATTACACTGCTCTGGTTTCCTGTTTTAATTGGAGGCTCTCATTTCCTTTTTAATCAGAGCGTCATGAACTAACCGAGCTGAAGAAGTAAAAAGACATTTTCATAAATCTGAAAGTGATTTTAAAGAGTTGCTTTCATGTGAGCGTCTCTCATCATATCTACAGCTTTATGACTGTTTGACCTTTTTACTGCAGGACATCCTGCCTGCAGAGTTATTACAGGTGTGAGTGAAGGAGCAGGAAACACTCAGCCTATAAGCTGCAGGTCACCTGTGTGTGTATATGATCTTATTTCATCAATGCAAAGTTACAGCTATGTTATATTAAGATTATTTTGTCATTACTCCACTTTCTCCAGCTCGTCTTTTGTCTCATGAAGAGAAAAAGTCATCAGTGGAGAGACTGAACTCTTTTGTAGACACTTCTATTTTACAGGGTCTGACTGGAATCACTGGGCACGATAGTGAAGTTAAACTGGGTGTTTGTTTACTTCCTGTGACATCAGCATATACTCTCCCAACCAAGAGAAAGAACAATGAGGTCCTAAAAGACTGTAAATGTCCCTGTAATCCAGAGAGACACGTCTTCAATCAGCAGTAAGACTTAAATAACTCAGCCGTGAGTCAGCGGCTGTTAGAGTCTGATTCACTGTGATCACTGAGATAATCCTCTTCATCATGTCTGTCTGCTCTCTGCTGTCAGCCAGCTAGGAGCACCTCACCACACTCACCTGGACAGGTAGAGTCACCTGTAGAGGTAGAGACTCACCTGTGCAGGTTGACTTACCTGTACAGGTAGAGACTCTCGTCTACAGGTAGAGACTAACCCGCACAGGTAAGGATTCCTCTGCAGGTAGATCACCTGTACAAGTAGAAACTCACCTCTACAAGTAGAGACTAACTGGTACTGGAAGAGACCTACCTGCACAGGTAAGGATTCCTCTAGAGGTAGACTCACCTGTGCGAGTAGGTAGAGACTCTCCTCTACAGATAGACTCACCTGTAGAGGTAAAAACTTACCTGTACAGGTTAAGATTCCTCTACAGGTAGACCCACCTGTAGACCTAGAGACTTACCTGTACAGGTGAGGATTCCTCTACAGGTAGACCCACCTGTAGACCTAGAGACTTACCTGTACAGGTGAGGATTCCTCTACAGGTAGACCCACCTGTAGACCTAGAGACTTACCTGTACAGGTGAGGATTCCTCTACAGGTAGACCCACCTGTAGACCTAGAGACTTACCTGCACAGGTAAGGATTCCTCTACAGGAAGACTCACCTGTACAAGTAGGAAGAGACTCTCCTCTACCTGTAGAGACTCCTCTATAGTCAGAAACTCACCTGTGCAGGTAGAGACTCTCCTTTACAGGTAGATTTAACCAAGAAGAAAAAGAAGAAGAGGGTGAAGGTGCTGGCTGACATAACCGACAGAACAAGTACAGGTAGATTCACCTGTAGAGGTAGAGATTTACCTGCACAGGTAAGGTTTATTCTACAGGTAGACTCACCTGCACAAGTAGGAAGAGACTCTCCTCTACAGGTAGAGGCTCCTCGACAGTTAGAGACTCACCTGTGCAGATAGACTTACTTGTACAGGTAGAGACTCCCGTCTACAGGTAGAGACTCCCGTCTACAGGTAGAGACTAACTTAACTGTAATCTTTGGTGAATATACTTCTTCTGCTTCTTCTCAAGTTATTTTTATCACAGTGTCTTTTCTGAAGCCCCCACTGGAGGGCATCAAATCTGATCTAAAGTGACTTTAACCAAGTGGTTGGATTAAAAAGTAGCAGGAAAGTTTTTGGATATCAGAGACAAAGTTCTGGAAGCAGACCCTGAACCTGCTGCCATCAGATCTACAACACAAAGACAATAACAGACACTAACCGGGATGCTCTGGAAGGTCTGGAAACATCCGTTAACCCAGACGTAAACCACAGAGCTGATGATGGTGGTCTGACCGTTGAAGGTGTTGGCGACCACCAGGAAGTGGTACGGTCCGACAGAGAAGAACTCCCAGTCATATGCTCCGGATGTGGACAGAGTCTGATTCACCTCAAACAGCTAAAGGACGAGAATGAAGACAAGAGAGGAGGGTCAGATGAATGGTAAATGGACCTACACCTTAATGGCGCCTTTCTAGTCTCTCTGACCACTAAAAGCACTTTTGTTCTACAGAGTCATGTTCACACATTTCCACACACTACTTCGACATGCAGACAGGAGGAGCTGAGGATCAACCACCAATCTTCTGATTAGTGGGCAACCCACTTTACCTCCTGGCCACAGCCATTACAGGACAAGACAGGAGAGGATGAAAGAGGAGAGGACAGCGTGTTTATAACGACAGATTGTTCAAGAGGACAGCCCGTTTGTGTGGACAGTTTAAGAGGAAAGCATCTTTGCAAGGACAGCTCGTGAGGACAGTGTGTTTATGAAGACAGCGGCGTGTTTGTGAGAACAGTGTTTGTGAGGACAGTGTGTCTTATGAGGACAGCGGCGTGTTTGTGAGAACAGTGTTTGTGAGAACAGTGTTTGTGAGGACAGTGTGTCTTATGAGGACAGCGGCGTGTTTGTGAGAACAGTGTTTGTGAGAACAGTGTTTGTGAGGACAGTGTTTGTGAGGACAGTGTGTCTTATGAAGACAGTTACCTGTGTGTTTGGGTTCCACCTGTAGATGAAACTGTGGATGTTGTGGTTGGAGTCTCTGGCTGAGGACACAAAGACATGTCTTAATTAAACTACCCGAGAGACACGTCAGCAGCCAATCAATGTGATTATTGATAATTACAAACTTTATTATTGACTGTTTTTAATGTTATTTGTTTTTTTTTTAACTATTAATAATTATCAATGTTATATATCAATGTTATTAACTATTCTTATAGTAAATTAATGTTAATAATTAGTATCATTATTATTATTATCACCAATCTTACTATAATTTTTTTTCAATATTATATTAACTATGATCAATGTTATTAATAATTGTTATTATTATTCAGTATTGGACCAAAAATGTGGAGTAAATAAACTGTTTTCTTTAATTGCCATTTAAAGGTTTTTGATTAATGATGCGAAACACATCAGACAAAAAAAATAAAATAATAAAATAAAATCACAATTTTCCCACGGGGATCAATAAATTATTTCTGATTTCTGATTAATAATGTAGGATACATATTCACCGCTCTACTTCTTTGTTACTGAACTTGTTTTGTAGTTTTTGAGAACATCTTGAGAATCTGCTTTCTCTACAGTCTGTTGTTTATTTGTTTACAGGTAAACAACTTAACATGTATTAGTAACACACTAACATTTTTCAGAGTTTTGTAATTCTCTTTTATTTCCTGCTTTTATTTTGAAGGCCTGAGGTGACATCAAAAGCTCTATTGATCGAGACATGAACTGAGACGACATGTTGGACTGTTCCTTTAAATGTGTATGTGTGTGTGTGTGTGTGTGTGTGTGCGTGTGTGTGATCTAACCACAGTACACCTGCATCATCAACTGACTTTTTTCTTTCTCTCTTTCAGTATTTTTCTTTCAGATGGTTGGATCATAAACAATCTGCTTCTTTTCAGCTCAGATCTCTGAGTGTGTTTTATCTTCACACACACACACACACACACACACACACACACACACCCACCACATGAATGTGTAATCAGAAGTTGGAGGTGTGTTTGATGTTAATGGTTCAATAAAACTCTGACAGGAGGACACAACACACAGACGGACGGACGGACGGACGATGATCCTGTTCACACTTCAGTCGGCTGCAGTTGTTTTTTAATGTGCTTTACAAATAAAGTTTGACTTGGTGTGATTTGATTTTGATGTTTCCGTGTGTCTACAGGTCACTCATGTTTCTGTCGCTGTTTGTTTACCTCGTCTGTGATTGGCCACCACCAGGAAGCTCTGGTTGTGGATGCTGAACGCCTCCCAGTCCAGAGCGGCGTGAGTCTCCAGAGTTTGGTGACGGAGGAAACGCCGCCGTCGCTGATTCCACCTGTAAATGACTGACAGCTCAGGCTCCGCCTCCTTGGAGTTCGCCACCACCAGGAACATCTGACGAGGACAAAAACACGAAATTCATCTGCTGTGACATCACGGTATTTATAACATCCAGTATTCTGTCAGACTTCACGAGACCAGTATGTGGCCAAAAGTAAGTGGACACGTCTTTAGTCTGTGTTCAAATGATTTTGTCTTCATTAATTCCAGTGAGGAGAGATTTTAATGCTCCATCACATGATCATAGTTTCCTCCAGGTTTGTCTCTTTCAACGTGACACAAAACCAGCTCCATGAAGAAACAGACTTCCCAGTTTGGTGTGGGGGAACTGGACTGGTCCAGAGTTCTGGCCCACCAGCACCTTCAGGATGAACTGGAACAGTCGGACTGTTTTAAATGCATGTGAGGATTTCTCTGTAACAGCCAGTGTGTGTGTGTGTGTGTGTGTGCGTGTGCATGTACACTGTACAAACAGCCATCACAAAGTGAACAGGAGAGTTCAAACAGAAACAGCTCGTCTCTTTGTCTCTGACCTCTCACAGACGCTGTTTCATCCTCAGCACATAAAAGCCTCAAAGGTTCAAAGTTAACCGCAGGCTGAAGGTCACATGGTCAGAGGTCAACTGGTCGTCAAACACAGCAAGAACACTTAAAGGAAGACATCGTCCAGGGAATTTGTATTAAAGGAATCCTGCACCCACAAAACGACCGTTTATATATCAGTTACTGAGCCTGTGTTAGGTTGAGTTTCTCAAGAAAACTTTTCTCTCACAGTGAACGAAGAATCCAAAAACATTCCTGATGAATTGAAGTCAACAAAGTCCACGTTTGACAGCAGCTCAATGCATTTAGTCATGTAGACATGGTGAAGACGACCTGCTGAAGTTCAAACTGAGCATCAGAATGATGAAGAAAGGTGATTTAAGTGACTTTGAACGTGGCATGGTTGTTGGTGCCAGACAGGCTGGTCTGAGTATTTACTGGGATTTTCAGCACAACCATCTCTAGGGTTTACAGAGGATGGTCCCAAAAAGAGAAAATATCCAGTGAGCCAAAATGCCTTGTTGATGCCAGAGGTCAGAGGAGAATGGCCAGACTGGTTCAAGATGATAGAAAGGCAACAGGAAGTCAAATAAGCACTGGTTCCAACCAAGGTGTGCAGAAGATCATCTCTGAAGCAACAACACCTTGTCCAACCTTGAAGCAGATGGGCTACAGCAGCAGAAGACCACGCCAGGTACCACTCCTGTCAGCTAACAACAGGAAACTGAGGCTACAATTCACACGGGTTTTCTCACCAAAACTGGACAATAGAAGATTGGAAAAACCACATTCAGATGGAAGCATGGATCCATCCTGCCTTGTATCAACGCTTCAGGCTGCTGCTGGTGGTGTAATGGTGTGGGGGAGATTTTCTTAGTACCAACTGAGCATGGTTTAAACACCACAGCCTACCTGAATATTGTTGCTGAGCGTGTCCATCCCTTTATGACCACAGTGTACCCATCTTCTGATGGCTACTTCCAGCAGGATAACGCACCATGTCACAAAGCTCACATCATCTCAAACATGACAATGAGTTCACTGTACACTGTACTGGGATGTGGTGGAACGGGAGATTCTCATCGTGGATGTGCAGCCGACAAATCTGCAGCAACTGTGTGATGTCATCATGTCAATATGGACCAACATCTCTGAGGAATGTTTCCAGCACCTTGTTGAATCTATGACACCAAGAATTAAAAAGGGGCCAACCCGCTGCAAGCAAGGTGTACCTCATAAAATGACCGGTGAGTTTTATGTCTCACAGTTTAGTTGGGCGTTAATAACATGGAGTGATGAAGGTTTGAAGGTGGAGCAGCTCTCACCTGACTGTCGATGGTGAAATGTTTCCAGGCTCGAGCCTCCTGAGTGCTGATGTTCTGGTGGAGATGGAACGACCCATTCTTCCATCTGTAAATACCTGAACCGGGTCGAGAGTCCCTGCAGGATGAGACATGAGAGTTACCATGGAGACACAGAGGACACAGTTAGTCCTTTATGTCCCTCAGAGCTGGTGGTGTTGTTCTAAGTGTTTTAGTACCTGTTGGCTGCAGCCATGAACAGGCCCTCAGACGGGATGGAGAAGACCTCAACGTCAAAGGTTTCTGAGCTGGTGTACAGATCCTGGTAGTCCTCCACGTAGTCCAAACGCTCCGGATCTGCAGAGGACACAAGAGACATGTGCAAGAGACACATGAAGTACAGGGGCCACTTAGTTTTATGTTATATATTTTAGGCATGTTTTAAATCAAAGTCACCTTACCTCTCTACAGGACTCAGTTGTCATCACAGCCAAAACATTACAGTGTTGACAAACAATGTCCTAATTTCTCTTTTCAATTACCTTTATTAAAAATCTTCATATGCGACATACATACTAATAATTATATAATAATTCTGACTATGTTTAACAAAAAATAATGTTTTCACTGTTAGAAGAATGTATCATCTTATTCTTTAAGATTATTTTTGACACAGCATCACTTTATTATTAAATTACTGATTTATCTCCTTCACTTAACTTTTAAAATGATTACACTGAAATGTCATATACTATTATTAAATTCTGACTTTCTCCCAAACAGCATTTTTGTCTCATAATGACTATTTTCTTTTTCACTTTTTCCCAAAATATAAATTAAATTCTAGTAATATAATGAAAAATAATTTTCTCACAGACGTGTTCTTAAACATGAGGACTTTATCTTACAATGATTCTTTCCTCTAAAGTTGGCAAACTGTACATTAATATTTTTTTGTATATTTTAGTAGTATTTTTTTGTCCCCCTCCCTCCCCCCCCCCCCCCCCCCCCCACATATCTATTAATATTTCTTGTACATTTTACCAATTATTTGGGAGAGTTTTTTATATTTTTAATTTTATTTATACCCCTCCCAAAAAATCGATATTTTACAATTTCATGAGATTTTTATACATTTATGAATAATTTTTGTATTTTTTTTTTTTACATTTCACTAATTTTGAAGGCAATTTTCTGGTACATTTTTTTAAATATTTTTTGAAATCCTTTACATGGATTTATTAATATTTCTTAAACATTTTACTAATCATTTTCAGAAAACGTTCACACATTATTCATTTATTTAATTTTCTTTTTTTTACATTTTGAATATATTATTAGTACATTTAAAAAAATCAAACATTTTGCAATATTTTTCTGATATTTTACTGATAATTTTCAGAATTATTTCATACATTTTACTAATAGTTTCATACATATATTGATTATTTTTGTAATTTTTTGTATGTTTTTTTAACATTTTAACATTTATTTATAGTTTTTGGGACATTTTTGACATCTGACATTTGACTTCTTTTTTCATTTTTTTTGTAAATTTCTGTTTTGCACATTTTGCCCATATTTTTTGACATCCTACTAACATATGTCAGGACAACACAACATGTGACGTGCGTCTGTTTCTTTATATTATTTTCTGACTGCACTGTGAACATATTCAGACTCACTGTGCAGCAGAGTCCTCCAGGTGAGTCCGTCACAGATGAACAGGCCTTTTCTCTGAATGTTGAACCACAGCTGGCCCTGCTCCGGTCCTGAACATGTCGGAGGATTCCCCAGAGTCACTCTGGCCTCCGCCTCTGAAATACAACAACAAAACCAACAACACCTCTTCAAGAAGTTTCACAGTGTGAGGGTTAGGGTCGAACACGAAATAAAACTGCTGTAAACATTTACTCAAGTACTGTAAAATTACAGGCACTTTACTATCTATATAAATTATAGTATTTCCACTTTATGCTACTTTATTTTCACTTGGCTACATCTCAGAGGGACATATTGTACTTTTTACTGCATTTCATTTATCTGACACCTTGAGTTATTTATACGAGTTTAGCTTCCAAAAAGTAAAATTACTTCTTGACGGTACCTCACAGATTTATGATAGTAGAGCACACAGTGCAGACAGTGTGGAGGTGAAGCGTGATGAAGGAAAGCCCCTTCTGTTTGGAACAACAGGAACTAGAAACCATTTATTATTTGTCTTTTCAGCGTCTGGCCTCAGACAGTAACTGTATCTGACAGCTCAGTGTTAATGAGCTGAAGGTAATGAAGGTTTTCGTCACTCCTTCAAACCACACGTCTTCATTATGAGCAGACAGAGGGAGATGACTCTCATATCATTACACATCAGTCAGAGAGACGACAGACACACGGGCTGCTAATGAGATTCAACCTGAGGAAAGAAACACCACTGATTTACAGCACTGAACCTGACAGACATGATGTCACTGTATATTTCCTGTTAGCAGCGTTCACAGGGAGCTGAATGATCTGTGAGCAGCTCCTGGTTACACTGTGGATGTACACACACCTATCACTGGATTACTGTCAGACTAAGGAAAACTTAAAAACATGAAGGTTCTCAGGCAGGTTCTGCAGATATGATTAGCCTGTTAGCTTTAGCTTCAATGCCTAGCCACCAACACTTTTTCACTTTGACCTCATCACATATAGAAGTTTGGTCTTGGACTTTCAGCGTCCAGATACGACGTGCAAGGTACCCTGGGTACCCTGAGTTTAGGCAACAAAAACACATGGTTGAGTTTAGGCAACAAAAACACGTGGTTGAGTTTAGGCAACAAAAACACGTGGTTAGGTTTAGGATAAAAGAACAGGGTTTGGCTTTATAATCTTAGGTGATGAAAACACTGCTCCCCTGAGTGAAAGTCCGTGTTTGTTGGACCCATCCACCACCCCTCTCACCTGCCCCACTTGGACGTTTGGCGTCTTAACTTTTGTTCTTATCACTGGCCACATAGTCCAGTGTGGGACAAGACCAGTCATGTATCATGCCAACATTAGGCCTGATCACACAAAAAGTGTTTCAGCAGCTTGAGGCACCTTTTCATGACTCTTAACAAGAGTGAAACTTTTTGCTTGCCGTTTTTGCGTTGCGACACGCCTGCAGTTTCTGTGCTCTAGGCGCCTGCTGTTTCTGCCGGTGCTCTGAACTGAAAAACTTCAACTCAGAGCGGAAAAACACCCCACATCATCTCTTTTTTCGTCATCTTTTTTTACAAGTTTACAGTTGGTAAACAGTGGAAGAGAAGCTCGTGGTAGCAGTTGCTGGATACCCAGAGCTATACAGCCCAACGATAGACAGCAGGTTGTCAAACTGCCCCTGAGTCATCCTAAAATATGCCAGGAAACAGCACCATGGAGGAGACGCTTCTGGACCAACTGGTGGAACTCCTCGTGATCCACCCTCTTTTTTAGGGTCTCATGTACCCACACAGATCTCAGTTTCTTTTTTCGTCAGTGTCTGACATCGCCCAATAACCGGATCTTATAAGTTCATAGTGAGACCTGGTTGTTTAGGAAGACTGTTCTTCCCCTATAGTCATACTGGAGCTGTTTTTGCCTCTTTAGATATTCAAATGAAAGTCTGTGGAGGTAAGAGGTGTCACAGGTCATGATAACGTCACCTCTGACAAGGTTGTCTTTCAACTTCATTAATAACAGTAAGTGTGTCTCACATCTCATCATCCAGACTCATGTTCCAGCAAACACAAACACTGAAACATCAGGTCAAGTCTGACGATAAGTCGACTTTGTTGTGAGCAGTGTGTAGGAACGTAAATCAAACACACCTCAGATGTTTCACCTGATTGAAGTTTATATAAACTGTGAGTCATAAAGCGTCAGATATCCATCAGAGTTCAGTCTGCTGAACTTTATTAACTCTGTGAGCCTCAGGCTGCTTCAAGGAAATCCTCTCAGTCTGCTTCAGATGTTTCAGATTCATATCAGCTTCATCTCTGAGTCCAGGACAAAACCCTACAGCATGTTTAGTCATTTATAACCACAACAATCACATAATACTGTAAGACCTGCTGGGTCAGCGTCAGAGACTACATAGCTAGGCTAACAATTTCCCTCTGCTTCTAGTCTTTGTGCTAGGCTAGGCTAATAGTTTCCTCTTACTTCCAGTCTTTGTGCTAAGCTAGGCTAACAGTTTCTTCTTGCTTCCAGTTTTTGTGCTAAGCTAGGCTAACAGTTTCATCTTGCTTCCAGTCTTTGTGCTAAGCTAGGATAATAGTTTCCTCTTACTTCCAGTCTTTGTGCTAAGCTAGGCTAACAGTTTCCTCTTGCTTCCAGTCTTTGTGCTAAGCTAGGCTAACAGTTTCCTCTTGCTTCCAGTTTTTGTGCTAAGCTA